GTTTTCCCATGTGCTCCGTTTATCGCGGGGGCCGTTTCACCCTCTTTGAAAAGACGAACACCACGCTGAAGCCACACTGAAAGCGACACGGAGTCTGACAGGAACCTCTCACACTGACTGAATCGATGTGTTTCGGCGATGTTCCAGGATATTCTACTCCGTACTATAAACAATATTCAGCATCACCCTGCAACACGGCACCCAACCGCCCTGAGCCCAATCAAACAGAAAACCTTTGAGAAACCATTTGAAAGGACAAAGGTCTCTTCTTCTGCTGTTGTACCAGAAAGAGAAAACCTGCTGGAGATTTTTGAATCATTTTAAAAAGCCTTTAATCTAAAAGAATATATATGACAAGGGTTGTGATAATACAGGGTAAAAGTTAGTACCACCTACAATGATCTTTCTTTTCATTGAAATGTCATTTCTTTTATCGATTAATACAGGTAGGTCTGTTTTTCCTCTTGCTCTAAGTATTGTTTCGGAACCTAATTATGATGAGAAATCTGGCATCAGTAAAGTTCTAGGGGTTACTGATGTGAGCCGGTACCTGATATATACATTCTGATGTATATTTGTGGTTTGCGTGTTCCCCCTGTGTTGCACAAGTTTCCTTCTGCAGTCGAAATGCATACAGTTAGGTATCTCTAAATTGGCCCTTATGTGTGTCTGTGTCTGTCTGTATACCTTACAATGCACTAGCATCCCTTCCAGGGTGCTCCGCTTCCTTGTGCCCCTCGCTGCCTAAGATCAGCTGCAGGCCCCCTGTAACCCTGTACTGAATAGTGAGTGATTTTGTAACAGGCAAACTGAGTAGACACCCCCATTACCATCCTATTGCACCATCAACGGTGATGTGGACTCTAACATTCTGATATTACATATTGCATTCATTCTGCCCATGGCGTTTCTGGAAATCTTCCTTTTATACATTTATTATGTCATGCCTTTAAATATTTGACCCATTAGGATATTTGTTTTTTTGGTGTAATTAGCTTTTTGTTAAATAATTAATATTCTTGTTAATTCTTCATTTAAAATCTGCTGTATGTCTAACACGCTGGGTCATCGGGAGGCCATGGCAAATACCCCTCGGCAGAAGTGCTATCTGCTATCCAAGCAAGGTCTCATCTACAGAAATATTTTAAACTGCTCATTATACACAAGTTAAGAGTCCCAGGCAGGGCCTGGAGCCGATCCCAGACTGCATCATGGGTACTCCCTGGAAGAGAAGCCAGTCTATCGCAGGTCAGAAAGACATTCACACACTGAGGGCGACTTTGAGGCAACAGTTCACCGAACTGCACATTTTTGTGAGGAGAGAAACCAGAGGAAACTCAACCAACAGCATGGAAACACACAGGGTGGGATTTGCACCTCCAGCTCTAGAGGCATGAGGCAACATCATAACCCCTTACACTCCTATACACTGTATATATCTCCCAAAAATACATGCTCTTCCAAGGCTCCTATATGAGCATATTTATGGTGAGTTGGGATGGACTAGGATTGGGATTGTGTTTTGATTATTTTTGTCTCAGTATGCCTCATATAACCTTTATTATTACTTTATATTTACTGTTTTTGGAGCTTTCTTTTCCCATCTGAGTTTATTATTTTGCTTTGTTACCAAACATCACCAGCGTTAAACCAAACATTAAACTTACATTAAGCGATTATACACACTGCAAAATAGAAGCAGGCAGGGTGAGTGTGGACAGCCTTGTGCCCATGGAAGGCGATGTGTAGCGGAGCCCGCTGGCCCCGAGAATCGATAGGCGGGGTGGAGGGAGGCGGGGTGCGGGGATGCGGAGTGGAGGGAGGCGGGGTGCGGGGAGGCGGAGTGGAGGGAGGCGGGGTGCAGGGATGCGGGGTGCAGGGAGGTGGGGTGCAGGGTAGCACAAACAAGGTAAGGAAGTGGATTGTGGAACAAGGATGCCGCACGGCAGAAAGTAATAAAGGGAGCAGCACAGCATGTCAGAAACATAAAGGATATCAGTCTGTGAGAGGAGTGGAAATAAAACATTAAGGGAGTCTTAGGGGATAGAGAGGACGTGTAGGGAACACGGGGAGGAGTTCTTGATTTAGGTGTTTGGTTTCTGGGTGAAAAGCTACCGTAAGGCCTGACAAAAGCCCGGGATATCACATTAAGAATGGAAAGCCCTCACCAGAGTGCCAGACTCTGATCGTATGGAAAAGCTGCTCCCCAAACCTGCTCTACTTCTCTCCCTTCATCTATTCACCTGACCCTATATGTAACCCTGCAGAGACACTGAAGCCAGAAAGACTCAGCTGTGTTTGATTAACGGTGCTATCTGCAGGCCCAGGGCTGGGAATCGCTTTCCAAGGTAACACGCAGGGCTGACCACACCCCCCCCCCCCCCATCGCCTCTGCTCTGTTTCCCCCTCAGTCCATGGTAAGCTGGTCCTGAGGACCCGTTAGGATTCCTGATGGGGACCTGTTATATAATTCGATATTGTGTGTCACTGTCTAGCTCAAAAATGTGTTAAAGAAAATTCAAGAAGTGTAAACTGGTTGCAGTAATTAAAGTTAGTTATTAAGCACTTAGAGAATGAGCTAATGAAGATAAGCAAGGAAACAAACAAGGGAAGACAGGTCAGAGGCTTCACAGTCTGAGAACAGAGGCTGCAGTCCTTCATAGACTGAGTCTGCAGCACCGTGATCAAGGACAGGGAATCCAGGTGCATTTGGGGTGTGAGTCACTTTCTCCTCCAATAATAATAAAACGACAAAATTATGTATAATAAAAGGTTCTTGTGAGGCCATTTTCAAGGTATGGCCAGGAGAACAGGGCAGAAGTTCCAGTTACACCCAAGCCCTGCGTGGCTGCTTCTCCACCACCATTACCTAATGGTACGGTGCTTTTGCTTTTTTCCATTTTCCATTGATTTCTGGTTGAGTGCCAGTACCAAACGTTCCAGCACCCAAAATACCAAACCAGCTGGGGTCCTTTTTTGGTGCTTCGGTACTTTGGGGTGGGACTTGCAAATGCTTTTTTCATCAGTTGGTTATGCAAATAGTATGCCTCTAAACACAATACAACTGCCATCTTGATTAAAAGTTACTTAGAAAATAATGATAAATGTTTTTTTTTAAGAAAGATAGTAATAATGTGTAGACAAATGAAGAGATTCAAGCTTTAATTGTGATCTGGTTGGAAGAACATATCGGGATGGCATGACAAGAAATAAAATGTATTTTGTATGTGGAAATGCCCAAATATCGCAATGTGATTTTGTTGTAATAAATATTGGGGTAGTTATAAAGCAAAAAAGAAGTTCAACAAATTTCTCACAAACATTTAAACAGCAAGGATGAAAATTATTATGATTTTCTTGGAGAACACATACGGCGCTCATGCGAAAACAGTGGAGGTAGACTTTGATTTCTTAAACATATACTAGATAATCTTCAAAAGGAATAATCATCAAAAATTTTTGCAAAACTTAAATCCCCTCCATTATAATGTCCGTACAGTATGAAGGTATGAACAAGCCTCATCTTAATCTAGCTGACTAGCATTGTAAAGAATTGCATATGCATAACATGTGATGTTGGTATTAATATTGCACATCATCTAGACCTATAATATACAACAGCCATTTTTTGAATTCAGTATGAAATACCCCACTTCATGTTGTGATGTCATTCTGCACTGGTACCAGTTATTACGGCAATGGAAAACCAACACCTTGAAATACCGCACTTTCAGTATTTTCTTGAAGTACTAAAAGTACGGTACCCGGTACGGTGGAAAAGCGCCCTACATGAAACAGGATTTCTTGCTTAGCCGGGTAACTTGTCAGATTTAAGGTAGTCTGGGCTAAATATAATTGAATAAAAACATAGGGTGAATTTCCCAAAGCCTTCTTAATGCTAAGTTGTTCGTGAGTTCTGTCTTTTAACTTATGAACGATGTAGTGTTAAGAAGGCTTTGGGAAACCCACCCATAGTCCATTTAAACAGGGGTATCTTAAATCCGACAACTTATCTGGCCAAGTAAGAAACATGATTTTGTGATTTAGGCCCCTGGTCATCTAAATTATTAACTTCAGGGAATATGAGGAAAACAGAGGAACTTGGGGAAGTAAAAGGGGAAATTGAGAGATTAATTTTAAAACTCTTTATGCTTATGTTCATAGAGAAGGTGAATCACTGAATCATCGTATTTTTTTTAAAACGCCGATGCTGTGGTCAAACTCTTTGAATCACATGAGACCTTGAGTTTTGTATGAAAGGAGACAGATATAGTTAGGTTTTTGACGCAGGCTGAAACCTTTATGGAGTTTGATAGGGTATGTTTTGCCTGTAACAGAGAAAAAATGCTTCTGCTTTCCATCTATTAAGCATATATTAAGTACCAAGAAAAATGTCAAGATAAAATATTACCTGGTTTATCAACTATCGCCAACTATAGACCAAATGGCAGTGCAATGAAACCTCAGGTCTACAACATCAGCCCTGGAATGCCGATCGGTTGGAATTCCCCGTCTACCGTAGGGAGTTTTCCTTAAAGTCTGACCATTCTGCATTTGTCACTGGACACCAGAATGGATCAGCAAATAAATTGCTTGGCTGTGGTCTTGCTCTGTGCAAGCCTGTACCACATAGTTGATGAGAAGGGTAGAGTGATTATATTGATTGCCCTGTCCATTTTGTATGGCTGTTCTGGACGCTATCAACAGCATAATGTTCCCTGTATAATAAACACTAGGGAAAAGAAAGAGAAGCCTGTAATGTGGGGGGTGGTTGGGGGGGGGGCTGAGGGGATTTTGCTACATATTGGCAGGGAAATCAACACGGCTCATTTGATACATTGCCCGCTATGATCTCGGCCCTGCGGGAATAACATAATACTATTGGTGTTAAGACAGATTTTCTGGTTTATGTAGCAGGACTGCTGTGTGATAAGCAAAAGCAACCTTACTTAAAAAACGTAGAATATATTGCAAGTTAAAACTTGAAATTCTTGCCAGTTTAGACACACGCACACGCACACACACACAAATACACGGTAGAAGCTGTCTCTCCCTTGGCTGCATGGTCCTCGAGTCGCCATGGAAACACAGGGGGCTCGAGAGCAGACGTGACTTTTTGTCACCTCCCAGGTGTGCTGATGGAGGGCGACCGTCACTGTGGCGGGAATATGGCCTCAGGGGGGGGGGGGGGGGCAGGGCCTGTGATCTCTCTCTTCCAGGAGGACACATAATTAACAGGTGTCTGGAGGCGGGCCAGCTCGGGAAATGTGGTGCAGGAGCGCCGGGGTCACCAGTCCAGCAGTTAAAAGAGCTGAAAGGACCCAAACGGGTCTCCCTGCTTCCTGCCTGCCCTGAAATCAAATTATTAAATTCAATGCAAAGTTCAAAACAAACTGGATATGAAAATTCTGTTTGCTTTCCTGCTCAACCTCCATTTGAAACATTTCCTTATGAATTCACATGGTTTCTGTGGGTTTACTTATTTTATCCTGAGATTGGTGCTTTACTGCATGAAAGCCAGGAGAGAATGTCTTCTGGCTGAAAGATTGTTAGTGTCTCACAGGGGACTGGTGTTGGGCTTTTTGTGGGGACCAGGCAAGAAATGACAGAGGACTAGAAAGAGCAAATCACATAAATTCACATGTTTACCAATGAATAAGGGACAGGTGAAGTGATTCCAAAGCCTTGCCCTCACTTGTCTCACGGGGCCATCCTGGGGTATTGCAGTTCTAATCGCCATAGCTATGATGTAAACAGAAAAATGTAGTTAGATGAGCAAATCCCTAGCCAGGATGGCTGTGATCCTCCTCCCTATGCCTTCTCCAGTTTACACCACGTGATCCATATTGCATTAACGGGGAAATGATCCTTTTTAAAATATCTTTCTAATTTCTAATTCTGACTGATCAAATGCTAGCCCTGCAATGTCTGCATGAGAACTTGCACACAGACCAGTTTCAGTAAACAACAAACATTGTAAAATGATACTGCAGAGCATCAATCCAGCCAGCCCTCTCCCCGTGTATCACCTTTCCAGATATGTGCCCGGGTCTGGTTACGCTGTTTATGGTTCCGTCACTGTGGTTAGTCTGGCCATCCACAGCCTGACAGGGGGTTGGCGGCATTTCACACACTCCTGCTTGATCGGCATCAACGGGTTTGTGCAAAGATCCCCGTTTTCTACCGCTGGGTGAACGCATCTCGTCAGGTGGGCTGGGCCACACTGCTGAGGGCTCCTCTCTTCTGGGTCATAAGTCATTCTGCATGCATGCGTCTGTCAGCGTTACTTGTCAGTTAAGGTGCAGATGTGTTAATGGTGTCCAGTCAGTGTTGAGATCAATGATGCTGTTTGCTTTTTATTTATGTAGTAGACACTTTTTTATCCATAGCAAAGTACAATTGAGAAAGCAGGGTTAGACGTTGATCACCGGCCTAATGGTGACATCACTCTGCCAACAGTGGGATTTGAACCAACAACCTTCTGATCACAGATACAACATCCTTACCCAATGAGTCAGACACCACCCCTCACCATTTTTGCTTTTCTTAAATTCTGTCCCCTCTCATTTGAAAGCTCATCTGCAGAAGTTTAGAACCCTCTCCAAGAGGTTCTTTAGTCTCCTAGTAGTTTGATGTTGGTTCTCCCTCAGGTCCACCTGTGTCACTGACGATCAGAGACATCATCCAATATTTCTTCAATTCTGATACCCAAACACCTGCTACCCTCCTTTAATTTATTATCCACCATTAAACTTTGCAATCTGAACTCCCTTCACTGAAGGCATCACGCTCGATTCCTTCTCCAATAATGGTCTGGAAGGTTTGCCTCTTGTCTGACTCTATGCCTTTGCTCTTCAGACATTTCTGATTTTTTCCATATCAAAGTTAGTCTGTTTCACCGACTTCCTTCTTCACCTCTGCAGTTTCATGAGGTGTTTGTGGTTCATAGTCTTTCTATTCTCGTTATAATGATCTGTAATTAGCATTAAGCAAATGAATAGTATTCGCACTATAGCCATTGTTGTACTGTAAACCTGGGTTAAATAGCTTTCAGTCACTCTTAATAATATAACTTGGGTTTACTGAAGCAACTGAGACAGGACCTCAGGTTGAATCTTCAGCACCAGGACATGTGACCCCCCTCCCCATTGTCAGCAGGCCTCAGGCACCAGCTGCGACAGGGCGCCCCCTGGAGTCTCTCTCTCCCTTCGTTATTGTTGATCTGCGTACAGGCTGCCGCTCTGACCCCCGCCGTCAATTAAAGCCTTTAGCCAGGAGGTGGGCAGTGGTGCAAGGTGCCCCCCCCGACCTCCCCCCCCAACCCCTTTTGCCTCTGCTGCACTTGTGCAGTGGCCCTGAACCGCCACCGCCAGGAGAAACGTTTACTCGAGGGGGGGGGGATCACAGAATGGTGCCCCCAGCCTCTTTGGGGTTGCTTGTTATCGCTTTTAAAGATGGCCTAACAAGCGAGATGGTCTGTTTTCGACCGGAAAAGGTCATTTCCGATTGAATATCTGCAGCGTTGACCTTTCTGGAAGGTTAACAGACAGCGGGATGAAAACATCAGCCGGGGTTTAGCCTGAGTGACGTGCGGCAGGGCCTGAGTCCTGCCTGCTCTGTTTGCTATGCTCCTTCTGGGCACTAAGTGCTAGTAACAGCATTGACTCAGTTTTGTTTGTGTGGTTGGGTGGAGGGGGGGAGGTTCTAAAAGGGATACCAAATCTGGAATAAGAAGATCTTTATAATATGCTTAGAGGGGACATTTTACTGGGTACGACTGCTTGTTAAACCAAACAGACAGACGTGTGGCTGCAACTGAATCCATACAGCATGCTGACATGGTCAAGAGATTCAGTCCCTGTTTGTCTGAAGCATTAGAAGGGCCAAGACACTTAATCTAAGCAATTTGGAATGTGGTGTGACTGTTGGAGCCAGATGTCGTGGTTCTAGCACCTCAGAAACAGAAACTGACCTGGATTTTAACAGACTACAAGTTTAGAGCTTACAGAGAATGATGCAATCAACAAAAATATGAAGCCAATGGCTTTACTGGGGCCCAAAACACCTTGTTGATGAGGGACATCAGAGGGGAATGGCCCGATTTCTTAAAGCTAAGATGAAGGACAAAAATGCCAACAGTTCAGTACAACAAATTGTCTCACAGAGAAGTGAGGGCTGCTCTGCGTTGCCAGCTTTAGTCACCTGGCGTGAGATTCATCCTGGGACAGAAGTCAGACTGCTGTCACCATGACTGGATAATGGGTGACTGATGGTTTTACAAATTAAGGACAATAATCAGCTGGTTATATATATAAAATGTTGTGTGTGATAATGAACCACGTAACTGTGGTCAGTATTTGGTGTTTGGTCCTGTTTACAGACTAGTTATAACGACAGCTGATGCCAGGAAACGCATCAAGACGCCTCTTGAAGTTTGCAGTGCTTTCTGTCATCTGTGTTGTTTTCATTAACATCCTGAAATACGACGTCTGCAATAACGGATTCCCTGCCTTAGATGGAGCACAAGACAATAGTTCCAATAATGTAAGCATTTAACATGAGGGATAAAATATGGAGTCTTTCATGGTGGAACGTCAGGTCAGAGTGCATTACCACCGCACATCTAAGCGAGGAGCCCAGCCACGGAAAACCAGAACACCATGTATAATACACAAGTCGTGTGCACCAGAGCCTTCATTTGTGTCTGTAATTTACATGGTTTATTAATGCTGAACTGGCATGACTATAATAAAGATGGTCTGGCACATCAGCCACTGTTAAGTTACTGTCACGTTGTCTTTTGATTTGAACTGGTTTTCTGAGGTTCTCAATATGTTTGAAAGCTGTTGTACACTTCCTACTGGTCATTCAGGTCCAGAGTTAAAAGTCCAGACCAAGACTTTGTTTCAACCAACCAGCATAACGAGTCACAGAGTATTTGACTGGTTGGTTGAAACAAAATCCCGGTCTGGACTTTTACTCTCTGCACCTGAACTACCCAAGTCTGCTCAGTGGAAACTCAGCCTAGCTGCACTTATACCAAGTTGACTCATTGACGGCTGTATCTGCTGCTAGCATGTTGCTTTTAACGAAAGTGTCTGTTAAATAAAATGTTAATGTACATGGATCTGTTTGCAAGTCCTCTCCCTCAGCAATGATCTTCAGGAGCAATATCCAGGATACCACACTGGCACCATGACTAGACATGGGCACAGAAACGCACACAGACCCACACAAAAACCGCGGGACAGACCAGCTAAACCCTGGTAACAGCTTTACTACTTTCCTTCTGTTTTCAGTTCTTGAATCTGTGGTGTCTGAGTACCAGTTTAGATCAGAACAAAAGCTCAAAGGGCACTGGAAGTTTGGAATGAGCTTATTTAGTATATTGAGCATAAATACAGTGGGGCAAAAAAGTATTTAGTCAGCCACCAATTGTGCAAGTTCTCCCGCTTAAAAAGATGAGAGAGGCCTGTAATTTTCATTCTCATCTATAACATACTATGGATACCTTCATAATGCAGTACAAAGCATCATTAATGCTTATACTGACCATACATTATGAATGTATTTATAATGTATAAAAGTATTTATACTTTATAGATTCATTGGAGCTTATGAAGTATTATAATCAGCACTATAATGCCTTATAATTATCAATAGAAGATGCTGTAATGCTTTATTAATTCTTATATCGACCATTATAATGCATTATGAAGGTATCTATAATGCATTATGGATGACATTAGTGAAGTGTTTTTTGTGTGGTGTGGTCACTTGTATTTGAATCCTGTGTCTGCCGGGTGTTTGGAGTTTGCATGTTCTTCATGTGTTGCATAGGAATCTCCCAGGTGTTCTGGTTTCCTCCTGGTGCCCAAAGACATGCACTTAAGTGACTTGTGGTCTCTAAATTGCCTGTAGTGTGTGTGCATGTGTGAACGGCTGGCACCTCCCCCCATGCTCCCTGCCCTGTGTCCTGTTCTGCCCCCGGGCTCCCAGCGACCCTATTCTGGATAAGCATTTGGAAAATGGGTGGAGGGATGAATATGCAAACAAACGACAGCCAGAATGGCCTCCTCTCCTCCACTGTGTCTTATCTACCCTCTGGCTGTTAGGAAGTTGCTAAATGATACATAAGAGTCGACTTATGTAATGGCGCTTCTCTGTTTTAAAAGCAAACACATCAGCATGCGTAATGTGCTCCCCGGTGCTGGAATTTGCAGCTGCGGATGCGCTGTGGCCGGTCCAGACACCCCCTCCCCCCCCCAGCGTCTCCCTGCTGTATTACCCGTGAGGAGCTGTGGCATGCTAATCGCACACCAATCCTCCATTCCTGCCCCCCATTAAAAACCCTAAATCATGTTCTGCCACAGCCACACTCACCCTTGACTGGGACGTCAACAACAATGATTTCAGAGGCTGCGGTAATGGGGGGCCGGGCTGACCCGGGCTGGGAAGCGGCGGACAGGAAGTGACACAGTGTGCCGCGGGTGAGGAAACATCCAACCTCGCCACTTCACCCCATTACGCAGCGGAATGAGCACGAGTGGGCGATAATGCGAGCGGAGTGCAATTCCTTCCTCCGGAGGTCCCCCAGCCACAGCGCTAGACTAAGCATAAGGACAGAAATTGCGAATTGGTGTCTCTAAATCGGCTGTAGTGTGTGTGTGTGTGTGGATTATGTTTACGTTACATTGTGGGGACCAAGTATTCCCCACAATGTGATAAAAACCTGTTTTTTTTTACATTGTGTGGACCATTTTTCAGGTCCCCACAAAGATCTGTGAATGCAATCAAAAAGCTAAAACTGCCAAAAGTCTCGTATTTTGTTTGGTTACTTATGGTTAAGGATAGGACTGGGTAGGGGTTAAGGTCGTCATGTTGGGATTAAAGATTCCCACCTAGAAATGAATGGAGAGTCCCCACAAAGACATAATTACAAACCTGTGTGTGTGTGTGTGTGCATGTGTGCATGCTCCGCGATGGACTGGCATGTCTCCCAGGGTGTCTCCTGCTTCCTGGGAGGGGCTCCAGGCTCACGGGCACACTTTAACGGACAAACTTATGGAAGACGGATGAATGTCGCACTGTTGCCTTGATTCCTCTACATCTGCCAGTTGGCTTTTGAGGGTAAAAGAGTGCATCAAATAGCAATATAAAGCAGGGGTTGCTTTTCAGAATTAAATATGAAAGTGAATGGCTTAAGGATCGTAAAAATCTGCCATACTTCACCATAACATGGATGTTGAAAATGTATTTTTAAAGAAGTATCAGTAATGAGTGTAAGATGGAATAAATTGCACTTCAATGTAACGCGAGACGATGAGGATGTTACTCCGTCAGGGTGAAGGTCTGAAGTTCAGCATGTAAACGAGAATAAAGCTGAGCCTTTGTTTGTCCGCCCATCACAACCAGGCCAGGAATCTACTCTCATTCATACACATCAAGCCTTTGCTCACAGATACCGGAGTACAGTCAGAAGCACAGAGTGCAGGATGTTTTTTCGTGTGTGTGTGTGTGTGTGTGTGTCTCTCTCTCTCTGTGTGACCGCATTCTCCACCGAGTAACTGACCTCCAGTTCTTGTTAGATAACCAAACCTGGGCAGCTGTACCATGAAGTGGGTTCACTGGCTTAGACAGATATCTTGAGGCTTACATCTGAGTTTTGGGTACTACAGATCTCCTTGTTCACTTTTAAACACGGTAAACCACTTTTAAACGACTTTCAGATTAAAACAGGTGTAAATGCTGCCCCTTCACCAAAAACCTATATACGAACCACCCTTTCACCAAGAAATGTAGCTGATATAAGAATCACCCTTTGACTCAATAGATGGGCGATACCACTGATGATCTTTTGAATTTGTTACAAATTAAATGAAATTTTATTGTCCTTCTCATCCTGATATTCATAGTCGCTGTCAGTGCTGAATGATATAGTACCTACCTAATACCTGTCCAACAGCGGGTCTTAATTTGCATGCCTTTTTCACCATACCAACCCCTGCCCCCCTTGTATGAACAGGCACAGACAAACCCCAAGTCCAGTTACTGAGTCGAGATCCACCATCGTAGTACCATTTTATGCTCATTGCGGTAATCAGAGTTAGTTAACCTGGCTCTGTTGCGTTAACTCTGGGTATGTAAAACTTGCTTCACTGGTGTAACAGTAGCCCCCATCATAAAACTCGGGCATTTAAAATATTTAAGTGATCCTCAGTGTGCTGATTCTCACGCAAAGCGAGCACACCAACATTATTTTCAATTAATTGTTCTCTGGAGCATTGATAAAGAGGAAAGCGTGTTTACGTAAACAGTGTTGGAATCTGGATTTTCAATGTTAGTACTTTACTGAAATCATCCAGCCACTTTGAGTTACACATCAGTGGATTTTTTATTCATTCTTTTACAGTGTTTCGCTCTAGCCATTAAGTAATTGTGACCTTGAGATATAACCCTAGAAAAAGCACTCGAGTGCCTCAGTGCACAGCTCAAGTGAGCGAAGCAATTGCCAAAAGCCGATAATGCAGAGCGTGGAAAAAAACATACCCCCAACCCCCACCCTGGGGTGCAGGAGTCCTCTACATTGGGGCAGACTAGTCTCCTTTCAGTACTTAATTGCTGTATGTAGCAAGAAGTCATGGGGAGTCACTGGAATCACTGTTGAAGGTGAAGTGTTTGATACTCACACTTAGCCCAAGAGTCTATCTAGAGCTTGATGTAAGGCTTTAATTTTTTTAAATAATTCATTTGTTGCAAATTGATTTTCTGAGACATGCATTTAAACCTGATATACAGTACAAAAAAAATGAGCAAAAGGAGATCGATGTCATCATGAAAAGTTAAGGGCCATTACAGAAAGTGGCAGATATTTCAGTCTTTTTCTACAGCATTTCAGTGTTCCAAAATTGGGTATGATGGCTGTACAATCTCTGTGTTAACCTTGTTTTTCAACTTGGTGTTTGCATAATGCGAGAGGCTTTACTGTAATGTGGGTATACCTCTGGCCAAACCATTTATTGCATCTTCATTGCTCAAAGAATCTACAATGAGAACGTAGGGAGTCATGGAGAGGGGGGTGAAGTGCTTAAAAAAGAGAGAGGAGTTATTAATATTCATATTATTCTGTCATAGATGGCCTCTCAGTGGCATCCTATTTGCTATTCCTATTCATAAAGCCACACAACAAAAGAAACCTGATTCTCAACCAAATGGTTGCCATGGCGCTGTGCTGAAATTTCAAATCTCGTTCTCTCGCTCGCTTTTGGGAACAAGCGGATAATTAAAGGCAGGCAGGCAAAAAAAAAAAAAAGCGACAGAATGAAAGAGGCCAAGTTAAAAGGTGTTTTAATAAGACTAAAATGAATGCGTGTAGCGGGGCTCTGAAAGAGGCAGACCTGCACCCATTTGTGTGTTTGTGAACTCTGTGGAACCCTGCCCACATTCTCACTAATTTGTCTCTTCAACAGTTTCTGGCTTATCACAATAAAAGGAGTCCTACACATTGCAGGCAATTTCACAGGGGATGAAGCAGAATGTAGAGCTGAAAAGCAGCACAATCAAAGGCACTTCTATATTGTACACCGAGGACCTTGAAAATGAACAAATACATCGATAAAGTGTGACATATGTGCATATATTAATGCAGAGGTTTTATTAACTTCGGACTTACTGCACCAACCCTGCTGAAAATAAATGCCAGGTATACAGTTAATGAAGATCGTTTCCTATACCGTATCCATTTACTGAAATGTCACAGTACTTTCTATTAAAGACTTTCAGTAATTAGTGTACCCCTGCCGTATGTGTCCTATGCTGCCTGGGACAGCCTCCGCCCCCCACCCAAACCCCCCACACCCTGTACTGGATCAGCAGTTAGAAGATAGATTTAATGAACAGTAATGACTTTTCTGGTTACAATATTGGGAATCCTTTTCATAGTTCTTTAGTTAAGATTCAGATGTTATTCTGTTAAAACGGTCATGGATGTGAACTTATACAACCAATAATCTATTTGATAGCTCTCATATTTTCATTAAACGTCACATAAATTTTGATTTTCATGTTGGTATAAACTGAGTAAATACGTTTTTATCCACAATGTATTAATGACGCCCATTCATTTATTCTCTATACCCGCTTGTCCAATGTTGGGTTGTGGGGGGGTCTGGAGCCTATCCTGGAACCTATGAGTTCAAGGCAGGGAACAACCCTGGATGGGGTGCCAGTCCATATTAATTATAATAATCCTTCAAGTTGAGCAATTGTTGTTTGTCCTTTGATCACTTCTGTGCCACGTGTATTTAAATACTTGTTCTTGCAGACTCGGAAAATGATCTCTATTAAATGCCAATCCATTTGCCCCTCAGCACCTCAGATACAGCAGTAATCATTCCTAGACTGTCACTCTTCCAAGATTTAATGCGACATTTATTTAAAGAACTGGAGAGTGTAATATGTTTCTTCGCTGTTCTCCTCTCTATTAGCCTGAGCAGAAAGGCAGAAGGTCCATTACATTATAGAATAACAAATGATGGAAAGTAATAAACAACTGTTTTTTGGCACGGTTTGCTGTTGTCATTGTGTGTGCCCTGGGCGTCTGGACTCTATAAGCATCAGCTGTCGTTCCAGAACTCTTGTTCCATTTATGGAACTGGTCATTACTTTACGTGTTTATGGAAGTATTACATTATTAATAAATGTGCCTAATTGGATTCAAAGTGGCAAACAAAGTCAGAATCATGAGTTTGGCTTTAGATGTATTGTTGGTAGAACCTATGGCTTAACTGCGCTAACAATTAATTTACAGGGCTATATATCTACAGCAGAAACATTAAATCTGTCAATATGTCTTATTACATGGCATGTTTCCAGTAAAGATACAATGCTTTCCCCTCACGGATTAATAAAATCTGTCTATCTACATTCTCTCCAGCACTTAATAGATACATGTTTTATTTACAGTGATAATGTACGTACATGTCATTATCTCCATCTGTGCTCACCCATACGCATTATGTACTGCGTCTGAGGTCACCTGGGATTTTGTGTCTAGATTGTCCATCATATTCATACTGCTTTGCTTGGTGAGGGTCACGTTGGCAGCATGCCAAGCAAGGCCCCAGACCCCAGACGGTACTGGGTCAGCTGGGATATACGATCACTCTGGCACTCTCGGGTCTGCCCCAGGGCCACAGCCCAGTGTGATCAGCTCCCTGAGCAGACCAGGTGGCATCCTTATGAGATGCCTAAACAACCTCAGCTGATCCCACTTGAACCGAATGGCTAGTGGCTCTGCTCCTGGTCCCTCTGGATCTTCAAAGTCTTCATCTTGTCACAGAGAGTGACTCTGGCAAACTAATTTCAGTCATTTATACTTGTGACATTCTTTTGGTCATTACTCATATCACATGAACATAGTTGATCATAGAAACATAGATTGGTAAACTGTATCATCTGAC